GTCCCCAGGGCTGCAGGGTCTGTCCCAGACAGAGGGACCTGCAGTGCACGGGCTTGGAGGCTGGGTGAAGGCCAGGACTGAAAGAAGGGCTGGGTGATCGGGGCCTGAGAGTTGGGAGGGGCTGGAGCTGGTGCCTGTGAACTGTGGTCGCATGGGGTGGCGGGAGCTGCCATGGGGTGGGGAGGGTGTTACTGAGGGGGCAGGACTGCTCTTTGACCCAGCTCACATACCACTTCCTCCAGGAAGACCTCCTGGACTCCTCAGTGCCCTCCAACTATTGGTTGTATCTCTCTCCAGCCTTAGTTGTGCCTCAGTTTCCTAATCTGTAACATGGGAGTAATAATAGTGGAGGTGGCTGCCTCAAAGAGTCATGATGCTGTTAAAAGGATGAGAACACAGTGAACAGCATCACCAGGCGCGTGGCGCACCCCGGAAATGCTTGCTTCTGTTACCTCTTTAATATTGAGTTTATGCGCCTTCGTTTGCACCTATGGGCTGCTCAGGTCATAAGATGCTCCTTCTGGTGCTCGCAGCTGGGTAGGAAGACGCGTTTATCAATAAACAGTTATGGCACTTGAAGGCAAGTCTCTGATCTCCTGGTTTTTCCAAGAGAACTCCGAAATCCAGGTATTACATTACATCTTCCAGTGAAATCCAGGTATTACATTACATCTTCCAGCTTCTTGACAATGAATTCAGCTTCTTCATTTACACGCCACGTAGGTCAAACTAGACACAGTGTCACCAGCTCCACTGTACAGATGAGAAACTTGAGGTTCACAGGGGCTGACTTGCCCAAGTGGCCCCATGGAGTGCGACCCAGGGTCTGGCTGCCTCCAAATCTGCTCCTTCCAGGGGACGTGGGGCTGGCTCTACTGGCCAGCTCAGCTGTCTGCCTCCTATAAAGACTCTGCGTATTGCTTCTGGCTGTCTGGGGACAATGGGGGCGGCTGTCCTTGTCTTAGAAGACCATGTTCAAAAGAGGGTGGAAGGTGATGCAGCCGCCTGGCTGCCTGGCTTTGCAACATCAGCTCTAATCTGATGGGCTGGGTCACTCCTCCTGGGCTCTGACATGGTGTGGGCACTGAGGGGCCCGAGATCCTGGCTGGGTTGAGGGTGGGGATCAGGTGGACTGGGGGGGGACCTCCCTGTGACACTGGGGCAGCGAATTATAGATCTAGAGGAGCAAAGCTGGGAGAGGAGTCCAAACGGACCCCAGGCATGTTTCCTATAGTCCCTTTAAGAAAATCACGTTTTTGCAAAGTTTTTAAATCAGGAGATTTCGTATATATTTCTGTATTTCTGGTTTTCATGGAAAACTTCTGTGTTCTCATCTTCCTCTGACTCCTCCCTGAATGGCTCACTCAGCCGCACAGGCAGGCTCTCTCCCAGCATCTCCCTACCACAGGGCATTTGCACAGGCTGTGGCTGCTGTGGAATGCCCCCCAACCCCCACCTTCTAGACTCGTGAGCTCCCTTCCTCACTACCTTCTGTTGGGTGTAGGTTGTGTTTGCGTGTGTTCCCCTTCCTTCCTTCCTTCCTTCCTTCCTTCCTTCCTTCCTTCCTTC